TATGTTACAATTTGTGTTTCATAGATATAAAACTAGATATAGTTGAAGCATTTCTCAGCTATTTCTTTCGACAAAACAATGATTGTGTATATACATATATTATTAATTTAAGCCTTTAAAGTATATATTAAGATAGTTTTAAAAAAATTATATATATATATATATATATTTTATTACACGCATTTTAATATTGGATGATAAATCTGTTTATGTTAAAAAAAAAAAACTTATTTTGATAATTCAAATAAAAAAGACATAAGTATTTAATTGGTTTTAACTTAAGATAGTGTTAATGAGTGTCTAAAGAAAATTAACTAGTAAAACATATTTTATTAACACAAACTTTTATAGCCATATATATTAATTTTATATTTATTAACAAATACCCATAACTCATTACCAAAATTCATGATTTTATTAATAAATAGGTAATATATTTAGATTTTTTTTAAATTATAAATCCCTATTAATATTTGTCTTGAAGAATAAAGACAATACAATAAATAAATAATACTTTAGTCTAAGTCATTTATCCTTAGGAAGTTAACTTCTCTCTATTTCCATGTTCTCCTCCTCCTTATGAATGGCAATGGGCTGGGGCGGGGTCGAGGATTACACTCCCTGTCCCTGATCCCCGAAGGTACAAAATTTTTCGTCCCCGCCCTCGATCCCCAGTGGGAAACCCATCACCCGCACCCCTACCCCTAACGGGGATCAGGTTTCCTCCACCCAAAAAATCCCTGACACTTTTTTTTGTGTGTGTGTGAAAACTACTTTGAAGCTCTATGGAGGATCTTTCTGGAGACCTTTGAGCTCTTTCAAGATCTGCTTTGAAGCCATCAATGAGTCCTATCTCTCTCAAGAATTACGAAAGCAAGATCATAAAAATAAAAAATAAAAACAACATATCATTATCATAAATAAAAAAAATAAAAAAAAAAAACAACAACAACAACAGATCAACAGATCATCATCAAGAGCAAGGAAAAAAATGTTGACACAGATCTAACACAAATCATCATCTATCACCTTACTTAATCATTCAAACAAGTGAAAGGTTTATAATTCTCACCAATTCTTTTCTTTTTTCACCAAACCCTCCATCCAAACATAGTGTTAAAGACTTATTCACAAAAACTCCCTTTTAAGTTAGAGAAATGCTACATCTATCGAATTTTAGCTCGCTTGAATCACCCGAATTTGTGTATGTCGGTCGTCCGGTAACAAAGGTGACAATAGCAGTTGACAAGAGTTGCACCGGTCACCCGACTTGCAAAATTCGGGCAATTTGGGCAATTTCAAATTCAGTATATAAATCATTTTTCTTTAACTTAAGGGTATATAGATAGATAGATAGATTTGTCAAACTTTCAAGTAAAATAAATTATTTTCTTAAAACTAAAATGATCATTAGACTTGAGGCATGTTTGATAAATGATTCATCCACACAATTTTTTCCTCTCTCAAATTCTCCCAAATGATGCGGCAAACAAAATTTGAAAAGTTAACCCACATTCAAATATTCTCTCAGAACTTTTCTTACATGCATTTTGTTTTGCCACCTCATTAGGGAAATTATGAGGGGAAGAAATTGTATGAATATAGAATTGTTGTTGATATAATTAGTTATGCTAACAATTTTAAGTACTTAATTTCTGAAATTAAGAATTTAAAGTTTCTTACTTAAAATTAGATATACAACAAAAATCATAATTCATATAAAAAACAATAATATTATGTACACAGAAATCAAATACAGAATGAGACACAGATATCTCACGAAGGGTGACATTTGGTCTCATATCATGTGGGTCTCACCCCTTGTGAGACATCTATGTGAGAATTATATGCACATAGACTTATTGTATAGAAAATCATAAAAATGGCAAAAAAAATCTCAATAAAAATAATCTCATTAAGATTATTCCCTGCTAGCTGTCTAATATTTTTTCTCTCAAAACTTTTTTTTTTGGGAAATGAAAATTCATTACTAATATATATGATTTTTTTTTAAATTCATTACATAATATATGGTCTTTTCAAATATATTTTCTTTTAGTGAAAATGGAAACAAAATTTGAATAAAAATCATCTCATTAAAATCATTCCCTATTAGCTATCTAATAATTTTTTTAGAATGGTGCCATTAGCACCCCAAGAATTATTTTGGACTACCTATTTCTTTGAACCCCCATTTATAATTTTGAAAATCCTAGAAATTTCTTTACACCCCCCAAATAATATCAAAATTATCTTTAAACATTACACCCAATTGAATGGACACCCCCACAATCCCCCCTCAAAAAAAAGACCTCTATTCCAAAAAAAAAAAACCAACAAAACCTCATCATTTTCAAACCCACGAACAAGAAGAACAAGAAGGAGAAGTGTAACTCTGACTCTGGTATGCTCTGTCTCTCTTGCTGTCTGTCTCTCTCTCTCCGGCGTGTTTATTCTTTTGGCTAGAAAGGCGTATGTAAAGCACCAGTTGATTTGAGTTGAGTTCTATATTTAGTCTTATATTTTCTCTTTGTCATTATTTGGTTCAGTTTGGATAGTTGGTAATAGTTATAATTATTGTGGGCTAATGTAGTTGTATTATTAGGTTGGTGTGACCTAATTTTGGGGATTCTATTTTGGCAACTGAAGCCCTAAATTTTTATGTTCTGTAGAGGGTTATTAAATCAATTTACTCAATATGCTTCTGTTCTATGTTAACTAATGGATGTGGATTTTACTCTCCTAATATGCAAAGATTTATCAAAAACTCTTGCAAGCTGTCACTCTACTAAGAAGAAATACAATCTATTGGTATGATTCTCCTTATCATACCTACATAACCTGCTATTAATTTGTAAATTACGTTAGTGAGGATTTCAATTGTAATGAAAATTACAATCATTATTAGCCATCATTCTAGTTCTTCCTGTTCAACCTTGCTGATTTTTTAAACTGACAAGTATCTTTGAGTGGTCATATGTTTGATCAATTTTTGATAAATGAGGCTTTGAATATTATCGAAGCTGCAGGTGGCTCCTTTCACTTAATTAAGTGTCAAGTGGGTCAAAGTGCATATTATAGTAAGTAATCTTGTAGCCTAGTTTGATATTGGAACCAAAAGAAAACTATTACATATGGACACACATGAACATCCACATCATAGTACTGACAATACATGTTAAGAGTGTTTATGAGAGTTAACCCTCAATTTTTGTGTATCCAGGTTTCTTGCCCCAACTCTTATTTAAATATCTATGCCCTTGTCAAGTTTTGTACCATTTTGTGCAGTTTACATATGAACTATCAATATTTGTATTCTATATTTTTTGAATTTTGCTGTGTGACATAAGCATTAATCATTAAAATTCGTTGAAAAATATTATATATATAATAAATATGTACTGATATTCTAGTTAGTGAAATGATATCCATAACAATTACGCATTATTTTACATGATAAATTAGGTCTCAATGCTTTATGATTTTGAATCAATTATTACAAAATTAGGATATAGAAAATAAAAGAGGGATAATCATTTGAGATGGTATGACAAAATGTAATAGAGATCAAACAATGCGCCTGTAAGAATTCAGGTTTGAGAGTGCCAAAAGACAAAGGGGTAGGCTGAGAAGGACATAGGTTGAGTTGGTTCCAAAAGAAACGATTAACTTAAACTTGACTGAAAATATGGTTTTTAAAAGAAAAAATTAGAGAAAAATTATACAATAAGTAAACCCCAAATAATTGGGAGTCAAGTCAGGCATGTAGTGAATTTCTTTACATTGTACATGTTGGAGGAACACTAATTTTAGATTTAGCATATAACTATAACATATATAAGGAGCCCACTAAGTATGGTACACTATTTTATTCTCTTTCACTTCTCTCTTTTCACTCTTTGCCTCTCATCTCTATTCCTTATTACCTGAGAATCTAACAAGAAATTGGGACTAAGGCTCCTTGAGTTAAGATTTATGTGAAATTCATTTGAAAGTGCACTGACAGCTTCTGTTTTTAATGTTTATGAGATTGGGATATTTTGTTTTTTTTAAGTCAGGGATGACACATTAGTTGAGTAACTTGATTTGGAAAACTTAAATTTTAGAGACCAAAAGAAGAAAAAGAATCCTTTGACCTAACTTGCTTTTGATCATATACACAACTACATAGCACTGCATGACCACAAACAAGCTAACTTTCTTTTCATATAAACGTGTCTGCTCTTGCATATAATCATATTATTTCTTTTCATTTTTTTCCTTCCCTAATAAGTATGTTTTCATTTTTTTTTAATTACTATACTTGTCTTACCTTGTAAATATTGTGTCTTCCAAATGATGTAGCTAACTTATGGACACTAACAATATAACTCAAAAGCGGCAAACGGCATCTTTGAGGCGTAACACAACCCAAGTAACTCAAAATGTCGGTCAGAAATGTAGTGCTCGTAATGTTCAGGTTGACGAATTTGATGGTGCTGAACCCAATGTCAATGATATTGGTGGCAATGAAGAGCAAACGAACATTCCTGTCGTTGACCACCACATGGACATTCCTGATGTTGACCATCCCATGGGCATGCCTGGTTCAAGTGAAGAGCTTGTTACATCATTTCCCGGGGGCCCAGTTGATCCTTCCATTCTGACAAATTTTAGTTGTCATGTAGCAGCCAAAATTTGGAATAATGCGGTATAACTTACAAAGTATTGTCTTGTTTTAATATTTTCAATAAAAAAATGAGAGATACATGACACCGTTGTGATATGCAATGATGTAGGAACGAGATTTGTTGAGATGCTTGAACCATGGCTCTAAGGTTTCCGATTGGTCTTTAACATCGGAAGGAGCTGACAACTCTAAATTTGTGGACATTATTAAACATTTGGGATTGTATTCTTTAACTAGTTGCTCATACAAATTTGTGAACAAGGTAGTTGTATTTGCCTTTGTTGAAAGATGACAACCAGAGACTAATAGTTTCCACATGCCATTTGGTGAGATGTCTGTGTCATTAAATGATGTAAGTACCATATTAGGAATTCCTGTGACTGGTACATCTGTTTCAACTAATAAGTTATCACGGGATGAAGCTGCAAAAGTGTTGGTTAAGTCATTAGGAGTGTTAGAAGATGATGCAGTTGTTGAGTTGAAGGGAGCGCGGGGCCAATCAGTGCGATTGGAGTGGTTACATGAAAAATTTAAGTCAGTTTCAAATATGGATTCGGATGATTTCATTCATTATGCAACGAGGGCATATTTATTATTCTTGCTAGGTTGCACCTTGTTCGTTGACAAGACTATAAATCGTGCCCCTGTTGTGTATCTCCAGCTGCTCGAGGATTTGGATTTAGTTCATTCGTATGCTTGGGGTGCAGTTATATTAGCTTTTTTTTATCGACGATTGGGTATGGCAACAAAGTCTACTGTCAGACAAAAAACAGGATACATGACACTATTGGAGGCTTGGATCTACGAACATTTTATATGTGCTAGAACCCATCCAAATTTAAATTATGCAGAAAATCAGCCTCGGGCTTATTGTTGGATTCCTCACACACAATCTGGTTCATCGGTTGCCGTGTTAAAGTCATTGCGAGAGGAGCTTGATAGATTGGAGGCTCATAAGGTAAAAAAGTAATGTGTAATTCCTTTGTGTCATTGATCATTTATAGAGAACTTATGATTTTGTGTATTGTTTGTAAGTTATTTTTGATCCATATATTGGTAAACGTGAGAACCATCCATTTGCTGAAGTTGCTTACTGAACTGGATTGCTGAAATGCATGGATATTGTTGAACCCTATCATCCAGATAGGTTTTTGAGACAGTTTGGAAGGGTGCAAAATATTCCTCCGCCTCCACTTGCTCCACTTTCACGAGGATCCACCGCTGGCAAGTATTGTTTTTCATACAAATATATAGATCGGATTACAGAGAGGTGGAAAAATCATGTGTCATCTGAAGTGGAGCGTAGTGAGCTAGTTTTACATCCATGGGATTGCACGCCCAATTATATGGAATGGTATTGTCGTATTTCCCCATGTCAGTATTCAAAATCCGGCACATCGATCTACATATGACCCTCATTCTGAGGCATCAATAGCTGATAGTGACCCATAATGCATTGCAAAGGCCTTGACTATAGCACGTCCAATAATGCAGTTGGATTACATTGAAGTCATTAGTGCTCCGAAGTCTCTGTAAAATGCATTCAAACAAGTGATGCAATTATTGGAGGGCTAGCATATAGATGAAGAACAACACTCCCCACCGGAACACCACTCTCCACCGGAACACCACTTCCCATCGGAACAGCAACAATCCGTTGAAGAAAGTTTGGTTTATCACCATCGCCTTCATCCTCGCCCTCGCTAAACTGACACTGGACAGAACTAAAAATTCATGATCATTTGTGGGATACTATGGATGTTTTGTTATTACAATGAATGTTTTGTGATTAAAATGAATGTTTATGCGTATTTTCGTATTAGTATGGATGATTATGGATTATCCTTTTGACTTAGTAATATCATGGATGATTTACACATGGTTGCTTTGATGTACGACAAAAGTTATGTTCACACCATGGTTTTTAGTTAGTAATTTCATTAATGCTTTTGAGTTATATATGTCGTGTTTGATTGTTATGATTGCTTCAAATTTTTTGTTGTGTTTTTTTATCGTTATATATATATCATCATTGAGTTTAAGAAGTCTCTATGTTCGGGCCTGTAGACATCCCATTTTTTACTGCCCGCAAGACTCAGACGCTTGTTTCAATGCACTCAATGATGAAAGTTGAATTATGAATTCACAGCGATTTGGAATCAATCAGGCTTCCGAAATAACTTCACATCTTCAACATTTATTTTGTTTGAACCCTTGGGTTTCATTTCTGGACCATTTCTCACCCTGAGCTAAGTTTGAACTAAAAAAATAGGGGAGGCCATCAAGGCTTGGCCGTGCATCAGTGATGGCCGACTATGGCTATGAATGGCTGGCCGGCCTTCGATGGCGATTAAGACTATTCTGGGCGGGAGATCGCCAACTGTCAATTTTTGAAGATATTTGTCACATTTTCAGCTCGAATTCTATAAAACTGAAGCTCTGGGATAGTTTTGAGGGTTGAACAAAAAATCTAGAAGAAAGACATAAACCTTGAGACCCTTGACTCCTCATTCTTCCATTGCATGGCATCCTTTGAGCTAACCTAGTTTGCTTACACCACCTATACACATCATATAAAACCTTGTCTTACCATCCTAAAGCCTTGGTTGATCTTGAGGAAGTGTTCTTCAAGCTTGAGAGTGCCTTGAAATTAAGTTGGAAACTCTAAGAACAAGCTTGCTTCTTGAAAGGTATAAGCTTGCTTTCTCTTTCCTTGCTTTCATTTCTGTTCTTTACTCCATCATTCTTGTCGTTTGGGTTGGTTTTGAGTTTGTTTGAAGTGTTGGAGTTGAGCTTGAAGGGTTACCAAAAGGGTATCTTTCTACACCTTTATTTCATAACTCAAACTCGTCTCCTTTTCACTTTTTCTCTTTGGTATTCATATTGATTTTCAGAGGTTTAAATGGGCTGAAAACCATGCTTTGAAACTCCAAAAATGGAGGGATTAGCCACTCTTCCTTATTCTTGTTTGTTAGCTTCAATTCTTATCTTTATTGCCTAGCTTTTCACCATCTTTTCATGCATGTTTCACCTCTGATTTGCATGTATTTGGGACTGTTTTGAGGTTGTCTAAGCTTTTCCATTTGGTTCATACCTTGTTAGATACACTTGAGGTTACATAGTTGGCATACTTGTTGCTTCATATGCTTTCTTGGTTCATTTCACATGCTTTGAGGCTGAAATTTGCTAATCAATCAATTAATCCATATCTTTCATTCATGAGAATGGTTTCAACCAATTGAGGTTACCCAAGGTATGTAAAGGTGACCTACACTTAATGGCTTAATCTTTTCGGAGATTCGTCATCAACGGTGTAGTCTCCTTCTCATGTTTTAGAAGGACCTCTTGTTTGACATCACTTCTCGGTTAGAGGACTTTAAACATCATATTTGGACAAATGGACTAATGAATGGCAAGGCCTAAAACAATTGGTTTAAAACTTTAATCAACACACTTGAAGAAAATGGCTAGAAAAGCTTGAACTTGGCCAAACGTCATGCCAAATTCCTTGTGTCAAGGGTCATCAAACACCAATCCATGGTGTTCTTGATGTCCTAGAAGCGTCTCAACTTCATTTTTTGAGTTCATTCCACGACAAAAAGGAAGGGGTGGTCCATTTGCATTACATTTATTGATTTTTGGTCCAAGATGACATCCGAGATCATTAAGTGATCATATTTCTCATTGATGGTTTTAGAGTCAATCCCAACCTTCTCTTGAGGCTTTTCTGTGACAGAGAAGGAAGGGGGGACAAACAGAGCTTAAAAATGCTCTATCTGCACTAATTTTACCTCAGAGCACAGAAACAGAGTTTACACCAAATCAATGCACGGCCGGCCCTCTGTAGGCCCGGCCGGCCATCAGTGATGCACGGTCGGCCCTTGGTGTGTGGCCAGTAGTGCAATTTTACAGAAATAGAGGCAATGGCTGTAGGTGAAACAGAGGCGGCCAAGCAGACAGAGTAGCTTTCAGGCGATGTGTGTGCAACCTCCATCCATCTTCCTTGGTGTCCATGTCAAATGCGTTGTTATTTAATTGTTTCATTAGCATAATGAATCAAGTTGTAATATTTAATTAGTCTAATTAGTTGTAGCTAATTAGTTGATGTTGTAATATATAATTAGATTAGCCTAGTTAATTTCTTTTAAGTAGCTTAGATTGTTAGTTAATTACTCATTTCAAGTGTTGTAATAATTAGCTTAATTAGCTTAATTAGCTTAGCATGGCTTAATTAGTTAGTTAGCTTTATTCATTCGGACCCTCCTTCGCGAGGGCGCAATGTTGTAATAAGTGTGTGTGCGTATGTGTATGTCTTCCAACCCTACGTCTTTCTCTCTTTTATTTTTCCGCTTTTGATGGTTAGATTAGGGGCATATTTAAATTAGCATAAGCATCCATTCATTCGTATTGCATGCACCAAGGCTCGGCGCATCATTCAAACTGCATTGTCATTTCAATACTTATTTGAATACGTGTTTAATCGCATGTTCTCAAATCAAATCATATGTCATATTAGTAGCCGAGCCTATTAATTGCATATTGCATGCGTTGCATTAGACACTTAGCATAGTTAGGAATCATGCATATTTCGCTAACTCATGTTTTCCTAACTTGGAGTACTAGGTGAGTTTTACTTTTTAGCATACTTGCATAAGGGTGAATGTTGCCATGAGGCTATGCGCTTACTTGTAAAACTGCTTGAATGCCTGTGGATGAAAGCTTGTTGTTTGAATTGGAACAATTCAACGAATGTGCGTTTTAAGCCCACTTTGTTGAGTGGCAAATCATGTTTTAAGCTCACTATGTTTGGTGGCAAATTTGCAAACTTTAAGCCACTTGAGGTGGCAATTTCAAACCATTTTCGAAAACAAACATGAGTTGAATTGTTCTTGCTTGTGTGCGTCACATAGTAGTGCTAGTTTAATAACCGGAATAAGAACACATAATGTTTATACAAAATCATTTCATGATTAGTAGATGCCGATTTTTTGATTAGACGAGCAGGGGTGCTCAATTAAGGACCTTCCCCTCTCGCACCCAAGTTCTCGAACCAAGGCAACTTTGGTGATGACAAACACGTGGCCTTTGGCACGAGTCAGGGTTTCCTAAATTTCTCCAAAACAAAAAATATTTAGGTGGCGACTCTGTATCTAGCAAAGTAGTCCAATTTTGGCATTATTTGATTCAAAATCAATTTTCCAAAACGATTTGCTGGATTTGGACTCTTTGGTGTTTATCAGTTTCACGTTGCACTTGTGAGATTAGATTCAGAACCGTGGGAGTTTGAATTATGAGGCCTTTTTTTCAAACCTTTCCGAAAGGCCGGGCACGGAAAAAGGCGAGTCCACTGTTTCTAGCGACTCTGCTAGGGATTTAGAAAACTTGACTCAAACTCATGATATGACATTTTATTTACACTTATGCGTTTCTTTGCATTTGCATTTGCATCGGTGCACCTAAGTCACTATGTTTGCCATGTGCTATTCCTGAACGGTTTACCAGAGGCTTGCTTGGAAAAGCTTGCCAAAAGGCTGACCGGTTGCGAGCTCTGCCACGATGGGAACACAACCCTTGGATCAGGACTACCGCTGTACCGTTTGATCCTCCTTTCACTTTTCGGTATTTGTGGACTCGCTTTTTTTCGCGCCCCGCCTTTCGGAAAAGTTTGAAAAGAAGGCCTCACAGTTCGGACTCCCGCAGTTCTGAATCTAGTCTCACAAGTGCAATGTGAAACTGATAAACACCAAAGAGTCCAAATCCAGCAAATCGTTTTGGAAAATTGATTTTGAATCAAATAATGCCAAAATTGGACTACTTTGCTAGATACAGAGTCGCCACCTAAATATTTTTTGTTTTGGAGAAATTTAGGAAACCCTGACTCGTGCCAAAGGCCACGTGTTTGTCATCACCAAAGTTGCCTTGGTTCGAGAACTTGGGTGCGAGAGGGGAAGGTCCTTAATTGAGCACCCC